TTGCGAGATGCAGTAGGATCTTTTGTGGCATGGCCATCAGACCTCATCTGCATAGATGATCAGGTATGTTGAAAACCATTATGAATCTTTAAGTATTCAACTGACAGTTCTGACCTGAATTTTATACATGGTAATTTTAGACTCCTACAAAATCCGCATCTAAGGATAAAGGGATTTTGCAGCGCGGCGAGTCTATTGCATCGCAAAGACAGGTACTTTTAAAGTGTTTCATTTATGATCGGAATAAAAAACTGCATAACTTTGTATCTTACATAATTCTATATGATTTTTAAGGTACCTTCTCAAGATCAGTCACAGCAGGTGAGCCAGAAAGTTAGTAGGGTTCCACCTAAGAAGAAGGTTCCTGTCCGTAAATTTGTGCTTAGGTATCGACAGTGTCTGGAGACACTAGTTGGCACATCAGATTTGATGAATGATGGAATTCGTCAAATCGATGTGGATGAAATTGTCTTTGGTTTTCCATGTACCGAAACAATTGGATTAGAGGACATGGAACAAATCTTTCATCATCGAGAGTTAGGCATCAGTGTGATGCACTCGTACATCCGGTAACCCGATCAATATATTATTTAATTGGTTGAACATTTTTTTTAAACATTTAATTGAAATAGTCTAATATTAATTATGTTTTTATTTAAGGATGTTATTTGACAAATTGATGCGCGGGAATCAATTGTCAAATAGATTTTGTTTCGTGTCTTCCTCCCGTGTCAGCGGAGCAACAATTTCTAGGGAACCTGATTCAGTAAGAGAACACTTGGTCGAAAGATTCATGACAACTGCCAGTACAGAGAGCTTGTATCTTTTGCCTTATAATACAGGGTTAGATTTTCATTCTAAGCTCCTTTTAATATTTGTATTTTTTACATTAAAATTCGCTTCTAAATTGTTGCTTTAATTTATAGATGTCACTGGTTGTTGCTTGCAATCAATCCCATAAAAGAAGTGGTATATTACCTGAATTCGGTTGACGGTGATTGGACAAATTATTCGGAAATGAAGCTAGTGATTGATACGTAAGTCACATTATTCTAAATATTCGTTTGTGTTTATATATTTAATTATTTCAATGTCATTGTTCTAAATAAATATTTTAATTTTGTCATCAGTTCAATAAAAGTATTCCGATGTCAAAGGGAAGCACGAGTTCCACGGTCTAAATCAAACAACATTAATTGGATCAAAGTACATGTATATAAATTTCAACAATTTTGCTTATAATATTTATGCTACTTGATAAATCAATAGATGTGTATAATCTTATTTGTTTTTCTATGTAGTGCCCTCAACAACAAAACGGCATAGATTGCGGATACTTCGTTTTGAAGTTTATCAAAGAAATCATTCAAATGAATGAAATCGAGATTCCAATCACGGTATGAATTTATACTTTGTTTTATTACTTATCGGATTTTGCATATAATTTATTACATTAAACTAAATCATGCATATATTTTGTTTTGTAATGTAGTATTTTGATCAATACAATTGTCCATATTACTCGCCACGTCAATTGGAAGAACTCAAAGAGGAGTTGTGCCAATATTTTATTGAGCTAAGAATCTTATAATAAGGTACGAATACATTGTTGTGTGAAAATTGGTTAATTATGAATATATTGTTTTGTGTATACAACACTGACCGTGTTATTATGTTCATATTGCAGGATCAGGACCTTGGATATATATGTAGATTAGGATTGATTTACTTAGTGTTATATAGCTGATTTCTTAGGGTGTATTTTGTTACGTTTAAAAACATGTTAATATTGAATTACCATGGTGTATATATATTTTGGATATGAATTGATTATAATGGTATTTGTATATATATATAATATTTGGTATTTGAATTACATTTGATATTTGGATTAAAACTAATATATATTGGTATTTCTAGATTAGATTGTAAAATATCGGTTTAAGAATTACAAGTTTGCTGCAAAAAAATGCAGGTTTAGAAATTTTTTAAATTTTAGATTTTTCAGTAGAAAACCTATGAAAGCGCTTTTAAGAAAAAAGCGCTCTCGTAGGCCTACCTATGAAAGCGCTTTTTAATTAAAAGCGCTTTCATAGGTAGGCCTACGAGAGCGCTTTTTCTGAACAAAAAGCGCTCTTATAGGCCTACTTTAGATTGCCTGACACGCATTCTGAATACACCTATGAAAGCGCTTTTTCAAAAAAAAGCACTCTCGTAGGCCTACCTATGAAAGCGCTTTTTACCAAAAAGCGCTTTCATAGGTAGGCCTACGAGAGCGCTTTTTTCTGAACAAAAAGCGCTGCTAAAACCTTTAGCAACGCCACCTACGAGAGCGCTTTTAAAGCCCAAAAAAAGCGCTTTCGTAGGTTATTTCTGGCATAGTGGGTGTCAGGTTTAACTTGGAGGTGACAAGTTAAATTCTTGTACATGCCTTGACACTCTATAGAGGAACTAACATGCCAACCCCACCCCCACCCCTTCCCCTCTCTCTTATACATGACACCCCCCTGTCATAAACTATATGCAACTTGGTCAGCATATTCCGTGAGCACTGATCAGTCAATGGGTCTTCCTGGGAACGTTACGTCGGTGTTAACATATGCCTTTTTAGTAGCACGAGTCATAATGTATGTATCATTTGGAGTATCATCATCGTCAATATCAGTTATGGGAGCCACCTGTGCATCTATAATCGGCGCAGGAACCTTCTAAACAACAGGAACGTCCTTATCAGCAACCGGCATTGAAACCTCCTCAGCAACAAGAACCTCTTCATCAATAAACTCAATAACATAAACTTCATCAGCAAGAGGTACTTCCTCAACAACAACTTTAGTTGCTCGACGTCGAGGTGCGCGGAACTGACCATGCGCCTGCTCAGCCATCTGTTTCTTGTGAAAATCGGTCAAAATAAATCAATCATCCCGTAGTTGGGAAGCCTCTGCCTCAGCAGGCAGCACCCCTAGTCTGGATTTCCAATCTATCGGTTATTATGCCTCCAATAGACTCGTCCTTTCTCCTAATCCTCATTGAAAAAATGACAAAAACTAATGAAAGAAGCAATGTACTCGAAATTTTTCAAAAATATTTAAACTACCAGAAATTTTTAAATTTCTGATACAAATGTACTCAATAAAATCCAAAAATTTTAAAATTGTTGGTAAAAAATTATGGAATTTTCATAATTTTCGGTAGGTTTTTCCATAAATCATAAAATTTCTGGAAAAAATTTCCAACTTTTCAGGTACTTTACTCACTTTTTTGAAGAATTTTCGATAGATGTTTGATATTTCTTGTATCGCCTGAGAGATATCAAAAATTTTGATTCGTTTAAATGAATTTTAAAAAATGGTGGAAACTTTAAGCGAAGATATTATAATCTTTTCATTCAATCTGAGGGGTGTGAGATTTAACTTGAAGGTGATAAGTTAAATCCTTGTACATGCCTTGACACTCCATAGAGGAATTAACATGCCAACCTCACCCCCACCCCCCACCCTCATTCCCTCTTTCTCCCCACCCTCATTCCCTCTTTCTTATACATGGCAACCCCCCTCCGCGCGCGCCTTAAACTATATGCAACATGGTTAACATATTCCATGAGCACTAATCGTTCATTGAGTCCTCCTGAGAACGCTCCACCGGTGTTAACATATATCTCTGTAGCAGCACGAGTCGTAACGTCTATATCAGTAGGAGTATCATCGTCGACAAAATGACCTCCTCAACAACAGGAACATCCACATCAACAACCGACTTGCTCGGCGTCGAGGTGCGCGGAACTAACCATGCGCCTACTCAACCATCGGTTACAGTGAGAATCGATCAGAATAAATCGTTCAGTCCGTAGCGAGGAAGTCTCTGCCTCAGCAGGCAACATCCCTATTGTGGATTATCGATCTATCAATTATTCTACATCTAATAAACTCGTCCTTTCTCTTGATCCTCACTAAAAAAATGACAAAAACTAATGAAAGAAGCAATGTATCAGAAATTTTTCAAAAAAATTTAAACTACCGAAAATTTTGAAATTTTCGATACAATTAAACTCAATAAAATCCGAAAGTTTTAAAATTGTTGGTAAAAAAATTTGGAATTTTCATATTCGATAGGATTTTATGGAAATCATAAAATTTTTGAAAATAATTTTCAACTTTTTCAAAATTTTACTCACTTTTTTAAAGAATTTTCGGTAGATATTTGATATTTCTGATATCACTTGAGAGATTTCAAATTTTTTTGATTTGTTTAAATGAACTTTAAAAAATGATGGAAACGAGCAAAGATATTATAATCTTTTCATTCAATTTGAGAGGTGTCAGATTTAATTTGGAGGTGACAAATTAAATGCTTGTACATGCTTGACACTCCATAGAAGAATTAACATGCAAGTTGTTTTAAAATTTGGTTAAGCTGTCACAAAACAATTCTTTAATCTCCTATTGATTCAAGAGTAAAGAATGGGCACGTACTGTGAAAGGAACACAACACTAAAGAAGGAAGAGGCACCAAATTTGTAGTAAATTCAAGAATATTCTTTAATCTTCTATTGATTCAAGAGTAAAGAATGAGCACGTACTGTGAAAGGAACACAGCACTAATGAAGGCAGAGGCACCAAATTTGTAGTAAATTCAAGAATAAAGTAAAAAAAAGTAAAGCATGAAGAATGGGCAATAGCACATATCTGATTTAGCTACGTCGCTGCTGAGTACAGATAACAAACTCCAAAATGACAGAACTTGAGTAATGCAAGAGCATATCCTCGGCCAGCATCTTTAGAATCGCTACTAATAGGTATGATTAAAAGATACATGAACAGAAAACCCTAATTGGCTGAGCGATTGAGAGATTAACATAAACCTTAATAATACAGACTGTTCTAATGTCAGTCCTCAATAATGCATGTTAGCATTTTAGACTCGACCTCTAGACACTAAACTGTGAACAATCATCCAACAAATACCCTGCATCTGCACTGTTAATCCGAAGTCACATGTCTTCACTGATGAGTTTGGCCTGCCCATAGCGGATGGTGGTACATCTGCTGCATATTATTATGAACAGGCTGATTAGCATTGTTGTAGAGTGCAGGCCCCCTACTAAAATTACTGTTATGATCATTATGCTCGTTTTCCTCTGAGGACTCAGTTGAAGGCCCTTGAGAAGTAGGACTAGTTGGAGTTGTAGGTGCACCGAAGTTCAACATTTGGGAAGTTGGTGCTGAAGAAGGCCCAGATTTCACCATACTTGAGCTTGACTTTTTCAGATCCATAATAAAGCTACCCACAATGACCTATTAATGATTAGAAAATGTCACAAAAGTAGAGTATCAGAATTGGTTAATCATGTTATACTTTGCATTAAAGACTACCCCGGAAGTTATACACAAGTTGTGTATACTGTCTTTGATAAACTTATATGGGCAAATTTCATGGCAATCCCATTCTTACCAGTTGACACAAAAAGTCAGACCACTAGACTTTAGAGCAATACCTGTATCGTTGACGCTGCAATTAGCACTCCAGCAACTGCACCACCCAAAACTCGTCCATCAGCCCCTGCAAGAGAAACGTATAAACTGCTTGGTTTGCTTTGTTCACCACTGTTTTCAGATAGGTGCATATCACCTGATAATGATATGATCTCAAATTGACCCTGCAGTGCAAAATGAAGTTTTGTGAAGAGAATTGAATCTAAAGACATGATATTTAATTATAAACTCAACCACAAGTGTCTAAACACATAGAAAATAAAAGATACTGTTGAAATTAATTCCTTTTTAAAGAACAAAAAAACAATTCCACCAATATTATTTTGCAACTTTTTGCATATATTGATTAAACAACGGTAACTTGCTTGATTTGGAAACAATGCAGGAAGAAAGGGTAAATTACACAATTGGGTTCTGTTCAATGAAGGGCAACACCTGGGATAAAGGAATATCGTGGAAAAGCTAAGAAACTAAGAAGATTGAAAAGCCATACACATACACCTATCCACAGTCATCCAGTCTTCACTGCAGAGAACCGGCTCACCAACAAGTTAATATATGGTGGATGCATAATTTTATAACATCTGAACATGTCTCTCACAGAAAACATGAAGTTAAGACAGAAGAAGTGCTAGCAACACACTCGGTTAACACTTTTTTTTTCAACACACTCTAAATTTAGTGGGACCCATTTAATTTTCAACCAATTAAAGAGTGTGTTGCTAGCATAATTTGTATAGCCATTTCCCCGGCTGATTTTATTATGAGCTGAAATTCAACAGTAATTTTGAAGAGCGATGACCACAAAAATTAAGCTCTTGATCATTAGATTTGTGAGTGCAGTTGTCCATTAGATGTTTTTACATGATGTCAAAACTAAGATAAACTTAGCATTTTTGTATATTAAACGGTATCTCTGAATTTTTAAGTGCACCTTTGCATTAAAGATCTTAGAATACATTTAGAACATGTTTGGAAAAAGCACAATGCATTAAAAATGAGTTTTTACATGGAAAAACATGTTTGTGTCGACACATACGATGTATGAGTCGACACATGTGATCAGTAATGAAGCTCGTAAGTCTATGTTTATGTGTCAACACATCAATCTCTTAAGTTCGACACATACTGAAAATTTTCGTCCACGTGTTGGACACATACGCGTTTCAGATCGACATATGTACTGCATCATTAAAGTCGGTAAATCTTCAATCTATGTGTCGACACATGACCTTGGAGAGGTCGACACATGACTTATACGTGTCGACACATGCTGTATTTTTTCAGAAAATTTACATTTCCTTCAATTTTTAAGCCTCCATTTTTGCCTCCAACTTGCACACGTATAAATACTTCATGCATGTATCATTTTCAACTTGATAAAACTATAAACACATAAAAAAAATTGTTCTTCATCTTCAACTTCTCATCTATACATACACACAAAGTACACATAATCATTCCTTGTTTGTGTGACATCTAGACTTGTGTTGATAACATTCAATTTAGATTGGTGTAACCTAAGATTGGGTTGAAAATTTTTGGGGTTTTCATTGGAAAAACTGTGAGGATTTTCCTCCAAGATCATAGTGTTGATTTGAGGGGTTTGACATGATTTTGCAATTCGAATTCAATCGAGTAAAGAGCTTTGAAGAACGGGAGATTCTTGCAACAGAGTAGCATGAGACGGTGAATCGATTGAAAATCTTGAGTGACAACAATTCACAATTTAGATTCGACCGAGTGAAGGCTTTGAAGAACCGCTGTTCTTGGAAAGGAGTAGCACGAAACGGTGAATCATATTGGTCTTGTTGGGTGACTTGATCAAACTCAGATTAAGGGTAGAGAAATTGTTAAGATCTTGTAGGGTTGGATTGCTACATTTCTCTTGTAAACGATTTTTTGCATAGTAAGAATTCTTATCTCAATTCAAAACAGAATTAGGGACAGACGTAGCCATAGCGAGGACGATTGGTGAACTGCCTAAACAAATCTTTGTGTTCTCTCTCTCTCTCCCTCTCTATTTATATCTTTTACTTTATATAGCAAATTATTCAATTCATTGATTGTGAAATCGATTCGTAGAGACATATTCTTTAATTCTTAAACATAGTTTTGTTGATTACATTACAATCAATTAGATTGTAAGTGGTATTTCATATCAACAAAGTCAAAGGAAAATCTGAAAATTTGATTGCACGCCAAGCAATGTAGTCAAGATCGAGAGCTGGGTCAAAAGATCGAAAGATTGTAAGATCTTATGATCTGAAATTGCCTTTGTGCTAAGATCTTACAAAAAAACTTTTTTGTGTGCTTTTGTAGTCAAGATCGAGATCTTTAAGGTAAGATCGTAAAAACCATAGTGTTGGGCCTGTTTTGTTGGACTTTCTAATCCGGTTGGATTTTTTTAAGTGAACCCGGTTTTTTTGTTTTACTAAGTTTTCTCTTTCCTAACCCTAAAACACCAAAACGGATGCAGCATCCATTCGTCATACGATACTCTCCTCCTTTAACGAAAATCTGAAACTTTCCACCATCATCTTCGCCATTCTTCTCCCTCTGGTATCATCTTTGTTCTTCTCCCTCAGTTATCATGACGATGAGGAGGAGGATTTATATGACTATCATGATATAAGAATGCATAATACCTTAGATGATTAGACTTATTTGTTATATTTATGTATTTTGAGCTACTTATTTTGAACTTTTTGAGCTACTTATTTTGAACTTGATCTCTTGAGCTTATTAAATTAGAGAATGATGGTTATGAATTATTAATTAAATTAGTTGAATGTTGTGATTTATAGGTTATCTTGTTCATGTATTATAATTTTCATGTTTTTATCCATGTGAATTTACCATTTTTCCTTTAGGTAAGATCTTAAGTGTCGTGCTACGATTCTAGTTTTACGATCTTTTATAGGCCGTCTAATCCTACTTAAGATCCCGTACTTGACTACCTTGACGTCAAGTGTTCGATAATTTGCTTGTTTTAGATTTATCAATAATTTTATTGGAAATTGATTAACAATTGTGATCATTATAAAACAAATGATTGAGAAATTCTTGTATTAAAGCTTATCGTCATATTTGATTTCATTCTGTGATTTACGCATATATGGGTTTCTAATAGTCGGTTCGGTTTAGACAACTTATTCGATCTAGGCTTAATCTTCCGCTTGCCATAGTTTTGTTTTAATTTCAAAACAGAGTTTTAAATACTAAATTTTTGTGTGGGGATCTATTCACCCCCCTCTAGATAAATTGTCGTCGTCTAACAAAATTAAAAAGGGTTAGAACAAAATTTACCTATTAAAAAGGATTGTTATCATTTAAATGTAAATGATAGTACTTTTAGGGAAAAGTAGTCACTAGCCTAATTTAGTTAGGACTCTTCTATTGTAAGCCTATTTAAAGTCATTCTGAATGGCAATAAAATTCATCAATAATTATCAAAAATACTTGTGAATTCTGTTAGTGCACAAAGTTAATAAATGAAGAAAAGGTATGAGAGAATAATATTAAAGCTCTGGAATGACGGCTATAAAGTTGTAAGGAAGAATGATTGAACTACATTTATGACAGCTATCACTAGTCTATTTATACACAAAGTAAATTGCCACATAGGCCCTAACAAAGATAAACTTAATAACTAAGCAAATTAAACTTAACAGCTACACTAACAAAGAATTAGAACCCCAGAAGCTAAACATACTTTTGGGCGTAACATCAGAAGCCTCTGCTTCTAACTGATTAACAACTTCTGACTAATAACCTTAGAAACTCTACTACTTTTGAGCAACACTGCTTCTGAGTAATACATCAGAAGCTTCTAATTCTAACGACTTCTAAATATGAATTACTTTCAACATTATCCCTTAATTCATATTCAGCTAACCAAAAAACTACAACACCAATTTCATCCCTCAAATAGATAAGGTGTTCAATCTTGACATCTTTCGTCACGTCTGCGAGTTGCTTCTGATTGCTACAGTGTGCAACTTATAATACTCCATTTAGAAAAACAGATTTCTCCTAAAAAAAACCATTTGTCGCTGATGGCTTTCTTCTTCTTTGGAAGCTCAATTAACTCCCAAGTGAATCTCAACATGAAGGACAACAAGAAGGTTTCTAAGTACATCTCCAGAGTGATTCTGATCACTAATGAGATGAAAGCTTGTGGAGAAATCATTTCTGAACAAGTAATCTTTGAGAAGATATTGAGGTCGCTTACTCTTCAATTTGATTATATTGTTGTAGCAATTGAACATTCTAGAGATCTGGACACCATGAGAATAGAAGAGTTGCAAAGCAGTCTAGAGACGCAAGAGTTGCTTTTGTCTGAAAGAACTTCTGAGAGGAAATTTGAGCAAGCTTTGAAGGCTTCTTTTGTCAAGGACCAGAAGTAGAAAAAACATGATAGGTCTTAGAAGTCAGAAGTCTTTTATTTTGATGAGAAGAAACATCAGAAGGGAAAGGAGAAGTATGACAAGAGAATTGTTCAATGTTAATGTTGTAATAGGTTTAGCCACTTTGCTAAAGATTGTTGGTCAAACAAAGAAGAAGCAAAAATGGCTAGAGGAGATTCTAATGATGAACCTGTGCTATTAATGGCTTATGAATCTGATGAGGAACCTGTGAGATTGTCATTTTCTTATTCTGAAGGGGAAGAAGATGACTCTGAATATTCTGACTCTGAAGGAGTGTTTCAATATGAGTCAGAATCAGAAGATGATGCTGAAGATGAGTCAGAATCTGAGGTTTCTGAAGATAAGTCAGAGTTAGAAGATGACTCTGAAGCTGAAGACAAGTCAGAAACCGAAGGTGATTCTGAGTCTGAAGAAGAATCAGAAGATGAATCGGAATCTGAAGAAGATTTTGCTTCTGAAGATGAGTCGGAACTTGAAAGTTCTGAAGAAGAGCTAGAGTCAGAAGATGAAGAATCTTCTGGAGACTCCGAAGGCGAGTCAGATGGTGAATCTGATTCTGGTCCAGATTTTGACGATGATCCAGAATCTGGTAGTGATCATGCTTCTGAAAGGGAAAACTCTGAAGACATAAGTTCTTGAGGACAAGCTTCTGAAGATGATCATGTTTCTGGTGGAAATCATGTCTCTGAAGGTGGACCTTCTGAAGGAGGAACTTCTGAAGGTAATCCAGCCTCTGACGGTGGTCATGATTCTGAAGGTGGAACTTCTAAAGGCAGAGCTTCTAAAGGCGATCCAACTTTTGAAGATGATATTTTTGAAGGTAGTGGCTTTGGACAAAGTCCAGAAACTAACAAAGGTGGAGCCTCTGGTGGTAGTCGAACTTCTAAAGAAAGTCCAGAAGGAGATTCTGTTACAGAATCAGAAGGAGATTTTGAACAAGTCCAGAGGCTACAAAGAAACTGAAGCTTTCTGAGAGACTGAAGTTTCACCTTCACTGATGCGTCACCGCCCTAACACCTACTCAGTGTGTCCCACACAGCCTTCGCCGTCGTCGAATCAACAATTTTCTCAAACACGTTCTCATCCACACACTGATGGATGAAGAACAATGACTTCTGATCTTTCTTCCTTGTATCTCTATGCACATTTCTCTGTTCCTCTGTTGCATCTGCTGCAACTGGAACATAATCATTTGTAACAAGCTCAAGAACATCCTGAGCGCCAAACAACACACGCATCTGAATCATCCAACAATTCCAGTTTTTGCCATTAAATATTGAAAGCTTGGTGCTTAGACTACCATTTTCAGTCATCTTCAACCTTGTACAGAACACTCATATCTCACAAACACAGTGTTTCCCAATCCCACAGAATCAGAAAATGTGATTATGTTCAGATTTTGTTCAAGATTCAACACGAATTCAAGAACCAAAATCAATCACACAACGCCTCACCGTTTCACTTGTGTTTTCTGTGATTCTCTGTGGATCTGAATACCAGAGCTCTAGATGCCAATTGTTAGTACACAATGTTAATAAATGAAGAAAAGATATGAGAGAATAACATTAAAGCTCTGCAATGACGGCTATAAAGTTGTAAGGAAGAATGATTGGACTACATTTATGACAGCTACCACTAGTCTATTTATACACAGTAAATTACCACGTAAACCCTAACAAAAGGTAAACTTAATAACTAAGCAAACTAGACTTAACAGCTACGCTAACAAAGAACTAGAACCCCATAAACTAAACATATTTTTGGACGTAACATCAGAAGCTTTTGCTTCTGACTGATAACAATTTCTGACTAACAACCTCAGAAGCTCTACTGCTTCTGAGCAACACTGCTTCTGACAAACAACCTCAAAAGCTCTACTGCTTCTGAGCAACACTGCTTCTGAGTAATACATCAGAAGCTTCTGATTCTAACAACAGCTTCTGAATATGAATTACTTCCAACAAATTCAAGAAACTATGTCAAGAAAGAGGGCGCTTCTGCCTTTCACCATAGATCGAAGGAAAGCTTCTACCACATCTAGGCATGTGTCAACACGATCCCAGGCAAAGGACCATAACAATTTGGTATCACGGGCTAACATGGGTGATGCGGATTTAGCATCAATCATGAAGAATTTCATGTAACAAATGGCATAGAACTCCAAAATCCATCATAAGAAATTAAACAAAGAAAAGAATACAAAATATTCTATAGATGAAAGAAAGAAAACAATATAGAAATAGAAAGGAATGAATTCCAATCTACTCTAGAGCAAAGCTACTCAGAAGAGTTAATGCCCTCTGCCTAACCATAACGGTTCTTTTAATATTCTAACCTAATGCATACAATTCACTTACTACTAATGCATAACTAACAAGCCAATTAAAAATCCTAACTCCCTCTTTATTTATCATATATCCTTACCACTCAAGAGATGCAGGAAATAGAAGTGGCAACAAAATGATCACTTAGGCAAAGACAACTTGCAAATGGGGGTGGGGACATGATTCCCCACTATTCCAAAATGAAATTCCTCACTTATGATGGAATAAGGGACACATTTGGGTAGCTAAGGCGTTGTGACAGGTTTTTTCTAAATCAAAAAATTGATGAAAGAGACAAGGTGAGATTAGAAGCGTTTTATTTAATAGGAGAAGCGCAACTATGGTTTAATCAAATGGAAGAAGAACCCGAAACATTGTAGAAACGCTTCAAGGAATGTTGTCATATATGGTTCACACCACCTATGAGACATAATCCATCAAGAAAACTCGCCAACCTCAAGCGAACTGCTTGATCAGTGGAAGAATATCAACATCAATTTCAATCCTTGCTTGCCAAAACCCATGATCTTAAGCCTAAGTGGACTTATTTACTATTGGACTTATTCATAGACATTGGACTTCAACAACCAAAAAATCTCAGTTTCTATGAATATCACTCGAGCATTTGAACACAAACTAAAGTGCTCACAAGGAATGCTTGCGGCATGGGATAATATTAGTAGAAGCGTCAACAATGGTTATGCTATTTAAAACCAAAAAGCCAACTTATCCAAGTGTTTGATGGCAAGGCTTTACCTATCCCCAAAGTGCTCTTTGCAATAGAAAAAATAGAGGAACTAAAAAATTGTTAATCCAGTGGAAGGATACCGAGCAGGGGACCATAACACATTCTTCAGAGGTCAATGAGAGACTGCTCCAAGTAGTCAAGACCATACTAAACACTCCAGATAGACCATGTCAAATTCCTATATGAATGTTGTCATATAGGAATGTTTAACAGCCTAAAATTTCTAGGGAGAAAGAGCCGTTGAGGGATCAAAATTAGACTAGCAGGATATGAGAATACATAGGTCATGCACTGAAAAACACAAAAGTAATTGTGTAACAAGCTCCTCAAATTTAGTGTAGATCCTTGCAACGCAGTCAAATTTCCTCTAGGAAGCTTTATTATTGGGCTGTGGCATGCTCATTATAAGATCCAGTTCCATCCATAACAATAGAAACAGAACTTCAAAAGCACCTTTTCCAGGTAAAGATAGATTCAAAAAGAAAATATAAATGGGCAAATAAAAAAAGGGCCACTATTTTATACTGTAATGTTGCACTCATATAATAAAGAAAGCATACATCCTAAATTTTGTATAAGAATACAGGCACCAAACCTAAGCATGCAAATTGAGTAGATTTGCTTAAAATCTAGCATTTTATCAATAAAAAAACAGGTCATTATCAAACAGGTAATTGTCAAGCACATATCAAACAGGTCATTTTATAAATAGCATAATTACATTATAATAGAACACATTAAAAGTTTTCATTGCTTGCTGGACAATAATAACTGATTGAGTTCCATATTTCAATTGACATGCTTTGCCTGATGGAGTATGGTTTTCAATCAATCATTGCCAGATCATTACCGATATACATAAACAAATTTTGATACAATGGATAAAGTAATAAACAAATATAGTTACATTCTCAATGAATATAAAAAGTACCTCATATCTTGCAATACCACCTGATGGCTGTCGAAGGGTTGCACTGCTGATTGCACCATTGGCAGAAAGAATACAAACTGTCCGAGGCCCTGACTGAGAAAAGGCCATCACTTTTTCTGTAATGTCCTGCAAACAACAGAAGCATACTGATGAGAATTGTTTATAAAAGTAGAACCTACACAAACCCTACTGATGGGAACTTAAAATAATAGATTAAAACCAAGAACAAACAAACTATTTAGCTGCTTGAGCAAAACAGAAACTGCAAGCAAATGCTACAAGTTACTTCTTTTCTGAGTGCAACTCTATGCAATAATGTTAATTAATAATCTCAAAATCACTATTCAAAACAGAAACTTGAAGAAATAAATACACCTTTTAAATTCTGAAATAGATCAAATAAGATACTCAAAATTAACACACATTTCGCAGCAACAAATATAAGGAATTTGATGAACCCAACGATAGATGGATTATTAAGTGGACTGTAGAACAAGCCATTGATAGCAGTTTTGCATGCAATAAAGGAAAGCTTTTAGAGCTATATAGAACATTAAATGGAACAACATGAACATGAAGAATAAAATTAGTATATTCCTTGTAGTAAGAGGATCTGAATTTGAGGAGTATTTGTATGCACAGTATAACTAGTTGGACAATACTTATTTGACACTCTTTCCATCACCAAAAAAAAATATCCTTTAAAAACTCCTCAGAGCAATACCATTGAAGTTAGTCTCCAAAACTATAAATACATATAAATAAATGACAAGCTAATAATCATCACAAGATTGTTCTCATAAGTAACAATCAAGTGGTAAGAGCAAAAACTCCATCCCGCAGTTCAAATCCTTTCGTTCCCGCTATCAACATAAAACTAACAGTGCAATTTGTACAGCCAACAACTAAAAAATCTTAAAAACTAAAACTTTAACACCGCCAGCTAAAAAATCAAATGAAGTATGTCCCCATAACATTAACAAGAGCTATCAACTTTAGAGAGCATTTACATGAGATTAGATATGTCCTACCAACAAGTGACTCTAGATTTGTCATGCAATGCAAAAGTCACATGCAGAAGGTGAATCAAACGAGCAAACCAAACATGCAATTTATATGCTTCTTATTCTTATTTTCTAAGTAGTTTTAGGAATAAAACCAGTTCATCCAATGTTTGTCTCCAACGGGATCTATTGACTTTACCTCCCTTTGGAATATACTAATCAAAAAGTGTAATTTCAAAAACTCAAGTCACAAAAATTACCAACAAAAATGTAACAGCAATATAAACCAGAAATTGGATTGAATAAATATAGATACAAGATATGAAACGCGACACTCACACGTCTGTCGACAGACGTAATAATTAGAGAAAATGAATAAATAAAACGCTGGTGTGGGGTTTCAGATACCAACACCAACACAACACCAACACAGATGCACTTTTTTTCAGAGGTATCAGTGCTACAAGATAGGATACAAGTAATAGTACTACCAGTCAAGCTCAAGAGTTGGAAGAATTACCTCACCAGACTCCACCAAGACAACGTGTGGAGTGAATCCAATCCCACCAGCTCCTTCACAGAACAGAACAAAAGAAAAATAATCACAATCAGTTACATTCAAATAAGCACTTAACTTAAAAACCACAACAAAAAAAGCAACAACAAACAAGTACCAAGCGCATCTAACTGTTTCTTCCCGGAGCCAGGAGGTCTTCCTCTATGTTTCTTCGCAGGAGCCTCCGCGTTTCCGGAATCTCCAGCGGAAGCGGAGGTAGCAGCGGCAGGGGAAGAAACACGATTCGGAGCCAAAGCAAGGGCAATGTTACCGTCGGGGGAGTATTTCCTCGGCCGGCCACGCTTTTTCTTCGCAAGCGTGGACGGCGAGGAAGGGCTGTCGTGAGTGACGGCGAACGGGTCCGATTGCGGCTGCGAGGTGAAAGGAAAACGAGCGGTGGCCGGAGACATGAGGTTGGTTGTGGAAGAATTAGGGCTGATCATGGAGGTGTTGGTCGGAGCGTAAGATGTGGGTCCCACCATCATGGTTGGGGGTGGTGGAGGTGAGCGGGAATCCATTTTGGTGAATGCGGGTTGGTTGGATCAGAGAGGAATGTGATTGATTGATGCGATGAGAGTTGGTGGTGTGAGTTTTGTTTCCGAGTTCTGTGCGTAAGAGAGAAAGAGAAACAAAGAAACGAGGAGAGAGAGAGAGAGAGAGTGCCTAACTTAACTTTTACTTTGGAAACATAATAACTAGAACTAGAACTATGGAGTAACTACAAGTACAACTATGTCAACTTGATCTTTATTTACTTTTTAGGGTTTTTTTTTCCTAACTTAAAGCAACACACTTTCATTTTTGAACTAATGTTATTAATTTGTGAATTTTTTAAATTGTGTTCTTAGATATTGTGTAAAAGTGGAATAAATATTACTTATTAAAAATTATACATTTTAATGAGAATTTGCTATTTATTTTTAAAAAATAGTTTATTTGATGTATTATAAAAAAAATATCATGTTAACTTAATAAAATAAAATAATCAAAACTGTAATTAAAATTTTGTAATGAATATGTGTGACTGAAGTGTTTTGAGACATATGTTACATTGAAAATCTCCATTGTAGTTAATATGTGAGATTGAGATGCATTCAGATATTGAGATATGTGTTGTATTGTAAATAATTGTCATAATTAATATGTGTGGCTGAGAGAGATTAGGACATGTGTTGCATTGAAAATCTCATTTGTAATTAATAATTCTAACATAAGTGCATTGAGATGTGTTGCATTCTAAGTAATTGTCGTAATTAATATGTGTGGTTAACGAAGATTAAGATATATGTTGCATTGGAAATCTCATTTGTAATTAATACTTCTGATATAAGTGTATTGAGATTTGTGTTGCATTAGGAACCTCAGTAATTAATATGTGTGATTTAGATATTTTGAAACGTGTTTTGTATCGTGAACTTTCATGCTCTCTCTGATCCTTTTTTATTTATCACATTTGCACACAAAAATATATGCTCTTATTTAATTGTCACTTAAGGATTATAAGGTTGTAATTTGTCGATTATACTCTTACTTTTTAAATTAGGTTTACTTACACATTACTCATAATTACTTCACCACTTTGAAATTGGTTATCAATTACAATGTCTGAAATTGATGTAGCTGCATATTGCTATATGTTACAACCAATGAGATTTCAAGATGTCCACTTCTCAAACAAAAATTAAGGAAGAGTTTCAATATTTTCTCTCTTTAAATGTGAGCTCTTTGGCAAAAGTTCCTTTTATTCAATGTATGTAATAGAAATAACAAAAGAATTCATGAAAGAAGAAATAGTGGAAGATTCATTAGAAAACAATGAAGAAAAATGGTAGAGGATTTGTTGGGCAACAATGAAGAAGAAATAGTGGAAGACTTATGAACAACAATGGAAATAAAATAATGGGAGACTCATTGGACAACAATGAAGAAAAAATAATGGAAGACTCATTGAACAACAACAAAGAGGAAGTACTGGAAGACTCCTTGAACAATAATGAAGAAAAAAGAGAAAGACCAATATTGAATTTTGATTTAAATGAAGAGGCTGAATATGAATTTGATTTGAATAAATTTCCAGAAGAATGGGAAGAGTCTTCTCAAGCTCGGGAGGAGTTTCGTCCCTTGATTAAATAGATACTAAAAAAATTCTTCAATGAAGAGGGTGAATATGAATTTGATTCAAATAAATTTCCAGAAGAATGAGAAGAGTCTTCCTGAACTGCTGAGGAGTTCCGTCTATTGATTAGAAAGATACTAAAAAATTTCTTCCTAAATTTTATTAAAGACTTTGTAATGTTTAAATCTATAAAGTAGAAAGAAGTTATTCCTTCGTCATAAAAAACTTTTAGTTTTTTGGTTATGAAATTTTGGTATAACATAACTCAGATGTCCTAAGACATGTTGGGACATCTGATCTGACATAAACAACATAGGCAAGATATAAATAATACAAACAGTACTGAAAAGCATAAACAACACACAGATATTGTTAACCTAGTTCAGTGACAACAACACCTAGTCTGGAGGCTACCAAGCCAGGAAGGAAATCCACTATCAGTAGTACTAGTTCAAAGCTAAACTCCTTCGTTTACAACTTATCACTTAATCCCTACCTAATGCAACTTCTGCCTATGAACTCCTAGATATGAGTATACCCACTCACTTCAAATCACTGTAATAATGTTTAACAGTCTCATTCCCAGTTACTATATCAACGGCTTTTTACCTAAATGAAGATCACACTTCAAATACAAATAAATCCCTTAATCAAGACACCCCTTGATTAAGAATATCATATTTGATCTTGCTTCACAATTGTTTACCTCTGGATTTGGTAAATAATGTCGGTCTCTTTAAAACAAGTTTACTGGCGAGATCGACTAGAGAATCTCGGTACAGTGCTTTAGTTCATGATTCGTATGCGTAGTTAAAGTGTTTTCAAAAAGGTGTGTTCGACTGAGAGCCAAACGGCTTGATAAAAAAACAAAGTAAATAAGATATAAAAAAAGTGTTTTAAATTGTAAAAGGTAATGGTATAACATTAAAGAAAGGTTGAAAATAGATTGGTTCAAACATACATTGTCTTTGTCTGACTCATTATGCTCGTTCGCTTGGTTACTCTGAGTGACTAACGTGGAAGAATGTGAAAGTTTGACCCTTTACAAAATGCACTAAGTGCTTTATTTATAATATACAAAAAATAACTACTTTTTAAGTGAGCTTTGTTTCCTTCTGTGCCATGTGTTCTTCATAACTTCCCTCCATGATCCACGTTCATCACTCCTGATATTAAACCCACGTTTTCCCTCCATAACGCTTCGCCTTTATAGTTTAGGCGCTTATGGGCCTTTTAACCCTTTTGGGCTTCTTACCCCTCTTGGGCCCAATCCATTCACCATGAACCCTTCTCTAATCGACTGCACTTACGAAACCTTGGTCAACTACCTGTGAGATCATCCATGGTCGACATGCTTATGTAGTCGACTCCTTATAATTTAATGTTCTTTAATGCTCTTAAAAGAACCTTTTTAACTTTTAGTTTGGATTTCTCTCTTTATAAAAATCCTAGCCAACAAATTGTCCCCCAAAATGTCCTTTTCGACTGAAAGAACAGAAACAAACATTTTATTCTTTTTCTCTTAGTATGAAGTGACGTCATTGTAATCATAACCTTGTTCTTCAAACGTTACATCAGTGATCACACAACCACTTCCCTACTTTCTAGCTTCAACTTACTAGAATAATCATGGCCTCCAACTTACCAACTTCCTCACCTTAGTTGTCATTTATTCGACACGTGTCAGCCGTGTAGCCCTAGTTTTTTCCCACTTTCTCCCCAAATGTTTGGTTTCTTTGATGGTATAAATACCCCTTTCATTCCTTCATTTTTCTCTTCACGCTTTCTTTACATCTTTAATCTCCTAGCTTCCAAACTCAGCAAAAAACCCCACCTTCGTTTTCATTCAAAGCTTCCATCCATCTTCTTTGGCATCTTCAAGCCAAGTTGTTGAACACATTAACACTCCTCACGCAGTTGAGCTAGTTTCCACCATGCCTGATTTCCTTGTTATTGATGGACAAACTTTAGTATTGGAGCCAAACCCAGTACACAACATTGCTACTTTCCGTTCTAACTTGTTGCTTCCATTTATCTGCAACGAAACTGCATATGCTCTCATGGGACCTACCCCTGATGAGATTAGGGCACCAAAAGATCTGAAAAAGTGTTTCATTATTCATAGAAGCACAAGGCCCCCCCATCGCCCAGAAGTGTCCTTTAGATTTCTCCCACATCTATATGACCTCAAAAGTTTTTCGCTCCGCTCCTGCTATCAACCAGGATTATAATGCATGGTTAATTAAGGTAGAGAAAGTTAAAGGTGATGTCTGGACATCCCAAGGCATTTTTTACTTGATTCAACTTTCTAGGGTTGGCCATATTTATTGCAACTATATGATGATTTCTGCCCTCTACTTCTGGGAGAGTTCCACGAACATTTTCCATTTCAAGACTGGTATGTTGACTCCCATTCTATTCGATGTTGTGGGTATCACTAGCCTTCGCCCTACAAGTGAAAATTCCATCCATATTGAAGCAGATGAAGACGTTATTCCTTTTGATAAGGACGTTGTTGGTTTCACCAAGTATATGGAGCGTTTTCACGCTAAGGATGTCAACACGGTGTTTAATGAAGAGCACATTGCCTTTCTGGCCTTGTGGCTCTCTAAGTATATTTTCTGCAACAGGTCTTTAAAGGTGGCTAAATGTTTTATTGCTTGGCGTATCACCTTCACATGGGTCGAAACACTTGCTTGAGCAAACTCATCCTGGGGTCACTTTATGAATCGCTCAGTGTGGGGGTCGACCAGATGACTTCTCTTGCATCGACTTCCAACTATCTACTTGTTATGTTGTTTTGGCTGCTGCAATTGTGGCTAAATGCCACCTTTTGGAATCGGCTTAAATTGAAACTTTCAGAGGCATAGAAGACATTTTTTGCCAATCGTGCCATTGAAGGTCCTCGTCTTGCTGCAATGGCATCGTCTAACAACGACCTGAATCGAGAGGAGACGCTTAAAACATACTTGAAGTTTTTCTTCAGGTGTACCTCTTTTCACCCTAGTATGGCGCCATTTGCTTCAAATCCATGTGGTCCTAAATGGTTTACTCGACCATTTCCCCCTATTGAGCCAACGCAGGTCCCTGAATTCACAACCATTTGGTAAGCTTTTCTAACCCCTAGGCCTATAGCGTCTATGGTGGGTGCTAATGACGGGGTAACACTTCTGTGTTACCAACCCAATCTGGTGGTTAGGAAATTTGGTTTATGCCAACCTTTGCCTCACAGCTTTTATAAGCCATCAGACGAAATGTGTCTTTCGTCATAAAGCTATAATGAAGCAGAGTGCGCTTAACGCCTCCAACACTTTGCTACTAATGCCTCTAATCTGAACCTCGTCGCCTTTGAACCCCTTTTCTATACAACGAAGAAGTTTTTTGATTGGTGGACCGTGAGGTTCGTAAAGAAAAATGGGAACCTCAAATCTTTCAAGCATCGATTGGGCAATGCTTTTGAAGTTATGAATTAGCAATTTAAGAAAGGTATAACTTATTACTGTAACTGTCGATCACTTTATTTGTTTTCTCACTTCTTCATGTTTCGACCTTTAAACTTTGTCTTATGCTTTTGTTTTATTCAGTAGTTGAGCATAAGAAGCATGCCAGGGAGACTATTAGTAGTGCAATTGTTTCTACTTCTGCTGACACAGCTCCTGCAATTTCCTCTCACGTAATTTATTAATTTTAGTGTTTTCTTAACTGACCACATCCTTTGACTAACACGTTGATTATGTCGACCCATTTAGAGGTTGCTGAAGCCAACATTGTTGTCCCTTCTGAACCCTCTCCAAAGAGGCGAAAACACTCTTCCCATGAAGAGAAGCAAGTGGACGACACGCCTTCGCCTGTTATCCCCACAAAATCCAAAAAGTCTATGTCGACTCGATTTAAGGCTATTCCAAAACAAACACAAACTACTTCTACCATTGTGCCTGCTCTAGTGGTTGCAAAAATACAAGTCACGTAGCCAGCTTCGACTCTCCCAGAGAGCACCAATTCTAGCCCTGAAGGGGACTCTCAGGTATCCTTTCTTTTCCTGAAACTCCTTTTTTCTTCAAGCTTACTTGCTCCTTTTTAGTTTTGTTCTTACTTATCTCTATTGTTTCAGCGGTCAGCCGCTAAATCTAAATAGCGCCCCACCAAACTTATCTTAAGGACTTCAAAGGGAAAAAATAAAATGACTGTGATTTTGTCAAACAATGAATCTACTGATAGTGATCTCAATTCTCATGTCGATCAGAGAGCCCCTGAGTATTCTCCCATCAGTAAGGGAGTGGAAGACGATGCCCATAAAGACAGCTTAGAAGGGGATGTTGGAAATGATGAAATGAGGGGTCCTGAACATGTTGTTGACATTAATGAGACTATCAACCAACAACCTTCTCAAACAGCTAAAGATACTCCTCAAACAAATACTCCCTTTGGCACTGTCTTAACTCCTCCCAATATGGTAGGAGCCACTACTACCATGTCGCCACAAGCAATTTCTACTATAAAACAAAGTAGCCCATTTGAATACTTGAAGTTTTTAGTGGCTGCTAGAAATTGCTCGACTGATTGGGGGCTCTAGCACTTCGACTGTCTTTGAGGACGTTTCTTCTCTTAGAACCCAAAGCGAAATTCTCAGTCGCCTGAAAATGCAACTCTTTCATGTCGATCTGATCACCCATTTGGAGGTGTTTCTTGTTGATGGTGCTAAGGTCAAAGAGACGTTGCAAAAGGTTGACGTTCACACAGCCTCTCCTCATGTCGTCACGTTTGTGGCTGAAGTATCTGCTTTTCTTGACCAGTTTTTGGTCGATTTGGCCAAATGAAAGGAGATCTTAGGGAAAAATCTTCCTGAAGAGAAGGAACTTAATCTTGAATTGGCGTTCATGGAGTCCTCTATAACTGCTAGTGAAGTGCTAAAGAAAGCTCTTGACAAATCTAAAGAAGACTTCAAAAAGAGGGCTGATAATATCTCTTTGTGGCAACGGCAAATTATTATTTTGAAACAACGAATTGAAGAGCTGGA